TCCTCCAAGATCCATTCCCACCTTCCCAAACTCCTCCCAATCTCATGTTATTTTTTTTTTAAAGACATGGCCTCTCTATGTAGCCCCAGATAGCCAGAAACTCTGTGTAGACCGGGCTAGCCACAGGCTCAGAGATCTGCTAGCCTCTTTCACCCAAGTGCTGGGATCAAAGGCCTGTGCTCTCTTTTTGTTTTCATCTGGGGCCACACCCTCCGTCAACATCCATCAGCTGCCCACAGCTCCTTAGCTAGGTGTAAGGATTCAAGCACCCCTCTTCCCTCTATGCTGGAATGTTGACTAGCTCAATCTGGGGGGCATCCATATCTGCTGTGAGTTCATAAGTAACAGTCTGCCGTGTTCTGAAGACACTCTTTCCCTCTGGCCCTCCTCTGCCTCCACCTTTACAGTCTTTCCTTTTCCTCTTCCTCCTCCTTCTCCTCTTCTTCCTCTTCTTCCTCTTCTTCCTCCTCCTCCTCAGCAATGTTCCCTAAGCTTTGGGTGAAGAGGTATGATATAAATGACCCATGGGTAGTGGCCTTGTTTGTTTGGCAGAGAGGTAATGTTCAAGACAGGGTCTTGGAACTCATTATGTAGACCAGAGGCCTTGAACTCACAGATCCAGTAGCTGAGTGCTGGGATTAAAAGGCATGCACTCCTGTACTGGCAAGCAGCCTCCTTCTGACAGTTTTTTTTGTTGTTGTTTTATTTTTGTTTTTTTCTTTTTGTTTTTCAAGACAGGATTTCTCTGTGTAAGCCTGGCTGTCCTGGAACTCTGTAGACCAGGCTGGCCTCGAACTCAGAAATCCACCTGCCTCTGCCTCCCAAGTGCTGGGGTTAAAGGCGTCCGCCGCCACCACCACCCGGCGACAGTTTGTTTTATGGCAGAGTCTCATATAGTTAGCCTCAGAATCAAGCCCCTTCTGCCTCAAGTCCATAGCTCTTGGAATTGCAAGCATGCTCTGATCTGCCCAGCACTGATAACATTTTAAGTGGGTAAAACCAATCAGGAAGCACACACATGAGCATTGTGGGTCCAAGATGGGGCAGGACATTGAGAAGCTAGTACACAGTGGATTTCAGTACCTGTGAGATGAGCCAGTAGTGGTGCTACATGCTGAGGTAGCAGTAGGGTTGCTACAAGTTTATAAGTTCAACCCCAACGTGGACAATATGGTACCTTACTACCCAGGGCTACCTGGCTAGTCCCTGTCTCAGAGTAGAAGAGAACTAGGCTATGTTTCTTATGCTGCAGAGGATAGTTTGGGAGCCCTTCACTTTTTCTCTTTTCCATCAGGTGGGGTTCAGCTTGAGCAGAGTTCGATCTGGCAATATTCGCTCTTACTCGGTGAGTGGAGACCATCAGAGGGGACGAGGGAGAACGGGTGTGGTGTGGGGGCCTGTCTTCTCCATGTTATGACTACAGCCAAGGAGGGGCCATGGGTGGATGGGGAAGCACACTAAACAAGGCCAGAACCATGGGCGGCTGTAACCCAGGTCCCCTCTGTCCATTCCCCAGAGCCGAAACTCCAATGAATGCCCTCTGGACAGAAACAGCAGCAACTTCCTGGTCCTGTTCCTCATCAATATCAAGGACCTGCAGTGAGTTGGAGTGGGGCAGCCCTAGAAAGAAAGCCAGTCACTTGCTACATGGTACATTGTGTGTGTGTGTGTGTGTGTGTGTGTGTGTGTGTGTGTGTTCATGTATACTGCTGGAAATTGAACCCACTGCCTTACAAACTGGAGGCAAGTACTATCCCCCAACCACACCACCATCCTCTCACTAGGGGATTCTAGGTGGAGGGATCAAGGGAGGCAGGGAGCCTCCATCCCTGAGCCCCTCACTGATGGGTGGGGGGTGGTTCTAGGTGGGCAGTGTATCCCTGAGCCACATTCCCAGCCCCTCACTTGGGGATTCAGGGTAGAGACTCTACCCCTGAGAACCCCCAGCCCTCTTTGTACTTTTTAAGACAGGATCTCAGTAAGTTTTACCAGGTTGGGCCTTGAGTGCACCCTGTAGCCCAGGCTGACAGTGAACAGGCAGTCCTCTTGCCTCAGCCTCAAAAGAATCTTGACTCATAAGCCTTCTCTCTGTAGACCAGGCCACATGATCTTTTAATTTGGTTCGAAATGGCCCATCCCAGTGAACTGATAGTTGCTATTACAGGGAGCCGTGAGTGTGTGAGCTACAGTGACTGGCAATGGCCAGGTGCTGAGATTTGGTGTCCAGTGGCTCCAAGAGATGTACCAACTCCTTAAGAAGGACATCCATGCATATTCTCTACCTGACCATATACTTGACCCTCCCCTTACTGATTCCTCCCCTGACCCCAGGGTCCAAGTCCGAAAATATGGGGAGCAGAAGTTGTTCATCTCCCCTGGCCTCCTCCCTGAAGCTCCCTCCCAGGCAGATCTGCCCAAGCCAGACCTAGCAGGCACCCGGAAGGACAACCACAGTAAGTCCAACCTGCATAGCTGTGCCAGAGACCAGCTTTAACAATACTGGGTGAATTAAGCAAGGCAGGTGGCCAGGTGTGGCATCAGTGATTGGGGTCAGTACCAGTGACCTTTGGCAGTTTAATTCTCACTGTTCTGTGGCCAAAAGCTGGTGGCTTCTGGCAGTTTAACTCCTGCTGATAGCAGCAGGAAATTAAGAAAAGAAACTTAACTACTTGGCCTCTATACTCTGGCTCACAGACCTCTTGCTGATCAGGCCAGAGGCTCAGAGTTAGTTAACTTTTCATGAGTCAGAGAAAAAGGAAAAGAAAACGTCAGGCATGTGCGCACACACAATGAAGAAGAAAAGGGCAACACTAAAACTTTATTATTGCTTTCAGCTTTTTATAGCTTTTTTAGACACACAGCTCTCTAAGTAGAAAAAACTACCTCGTAGATAAAATGTTATACAAAGGGCACTTACAGAAGGATATAGTGAGTTTAAAGCAGTGTTTAATCTATAAGCTCATTATAAGTTCAAAGCAACAGTTCACATGGCCTTGCCTTATCACAGTGCACGCCTGTGGTCTCATCCTTGGACCTGACCTAGAATGAGTGTTTTTCCTTAATCACAAATCCGTCCCAAGCCTATTTCTCTTCTTAGTGCAGTTTATGAAAACTCATTGTGTTCCTTATTATGTAGCCTTTATTCTGTGAGAAGAGGGCACATTCTATTCTTAGTTCTTCTAATTTTATTACGTCTTTCTAGTAAAACATTTAAAGCTATCTCCTTCAACTTTCTTCCTAAAATTATTTGAATCAAGTCAGGAATTCTATATGAAGTCATTATTCATCTAAACAGCATTAATTCATGAAAGTTGATCTTCATGTTGATCTACAGGAAGTTTATCCAGTAGGGTGAGCTATCACCCAAAAGTCATCACACCAGGCTATAGGCAGTGAGGGTCTCCTGGTGTCCACTCACACTAAGTGTGTGAGGAGTGCAGCAATGACAGACATGAGGAAACACATCAGTAGCAAGAAGCAATTCTGGGACAAAGTCTCTAGGGCTGTGCCTCACCAAAGCCCCTCATAGCAGCCATGCAAGACTGTGGGCTGTCCAGGGAGCTCTCTTCGTGCATGGCATCCACCACCACTTCCCTGCATGTACACTGAATTCTCTGCGCATTTGCCTTTTGACGGTCATTCACCCATCTCCTACAGAGATGTCTGCAGTCAAGGAGGATCAGGCAAAGCCTACAGTGCCCCAGGTTTCAGGGGATAAAACTCTCCCAGGGGAACACAGGCAGTCATCTGAGGGACAGCCACCCACACAGGACCCCAGTGAGAAGGACAAGGATCTGGTGTTGGGGCTGGGCCACCTCAATGACTCTTACAACTTCAGTGTGAGTATCTGCCCTGCCCTCATGTCCCCGCCTCCCCAGAACTGGGCCACAGCTAAGGAACCCTCCAGACTGACACCCTCTTCTCCCCATGACCAGTTCCACATCGTGATCGGCTCCAGGGCTGAGGAAGGCCAGTACAGCCTCAATTTCCACAACTGTCAAAACGCCAAAGCAGGCCAGGAGCAGCCGTTCGACCTGACTGTAAGTGGCGGGACAAGTGTAGCCCAGGCAGCTGGGCAGCTTGGTCTCCATTATGTGCTTCTCTTTGTTTTCTAATCACACTTTATTTATTGGGGGGAAGGGAGGAGCCATCATAGCACATGTGTGGAGGTCAGAGGACAACGCTCAGGACTCAGTTGTCTCTTCCACCGTGTGGGTCCCAGGGATCAAACTCAGGTCATCATGTTTGGCAGCAGGCTTCTTTCCCCATTGAGCCACCTTGCCAGCCCCTGGATGAACTGTATAAAGTACTACATTGGGCTTTTGTGGGACATGCAAGCTAGGGTATCCACCCCTCCTCTGACTGAGAGTATTTAAGGGAAGACAAAAATTGTATCTATTCCAGATGTATACAGAAGTGTGTGTGTGTTCATATGTGCAGATGAGCTTGTATTATGTACATACAGAAATTAGTCGGCCAAGTGGTATTCCTAAGGATGTTGTCCATACTGGTTTGGTTTGGTTTGGTTTGGTTTGGTTTGGTTTGGTTTGGTTTG